CCGCCGCCAGGGAGCGAAACTCCGGAACGTCGTACGTTTGCTGCAACACCGCTCACGAGGAGGCGACCTTCCAGAGGGCGCTGGCGATAAGGGCGGACGTGAGCCTGGTCTCGTCCCAGAACCCTCCCCCTGTGTACGTCGTGGCAGACGGTAAGCGAGGCCCACCGCTGGTGGTGGATCCCGAACGATCTGCTGTGCCGACGACGACCCGGTCGTGTCCGGTGTCGTCCTGTTAAACACGCATGCGTTCTTCCGTTTTGCATTTGGTATGCATAGCCTCGTTCTGTCTGTTGCCTTCCTTCTACATGTTTTTGTTGGAAGATTTTTTGAGATGTTTTTTTTGGTTAAATGAATAGCTATCACCAAAGCAGGCTCTTGGATTGGAAGTCGTCGAACGTGACTGTTGCTACGTCTACGTAAGTAGGTACAGGGTGTGCCCCTCGCCACCAGCAACACGGCGTGTATCCTTGGGAGCCGGGAGTTGGGAGACGAACTTTTCAGAAGAATAGAGTTTGTTTTGCCATCGTTTGTGAAATGAAGTGCATAGAGGTTATTTTCCGGCAGTTTTTGTGTCCGTCTCTGTCTCGCATGACCAACGTTCAACATCACATAATATATTGTAGGTTGTACCGTATGCATATGTGGAACAAGTTGCAACGACTTCTTTGTTGAGGTTCGATTTTTTTGTGCCTCCATCATATGCCTCGTCCACCCGCCCTACCTACGGCGGTGAATGCTTCCCGAGTGTGGTTTGCCCAAATGCGACGAAGGGGCTGCCGTCGCCCATCTCCCCCCGCAAGGGATATCGAGGCCTTTCGTCTGTTTCGTCCAGACAGCAACCGCGGTAGATATGTACGTAGTTGTCGGGAGACCCATCGAGCTCCCTCGTTTTCCTGAATGTTCTCTCCCTCTACTGACCAACCGTCACCGCCAGCGTTACGTGGCCTTACCCAGCCCTGCCCGCAACACGCGCGGGTTTCAGGCGCTTCGTCGGCTACGCTGCTGGCTGCCTGTCGATCCGTTTCTGTCTGGTTGGGGTTGGGTGTTCATGTCTTTGCTGCCTGAACTTCGCTCCAAGTGTCACCATACTTTCCCGACAGCAGTTTCCCGCCTGCCGTTGCAGCTTGTTGTGATCCACAACATAATCTCCGGACTTGTAGGAAACTTGTTGTGCAAAAATTTCTCGTGTAACTCTTCCACGTGTCGTGGAGTCAATCCATCACGACGGCCGCAGCCCCCCCTCTCTCTATGTCTCTGCTCACTCCTCCCCCCCCCCCCCCCCTGGCGGTTTCTTGAAAACCCCCCCTTTCAGGGAGAACAACCCCACCGCTGAAGAATCCCTTTTCTCCAAAACCAAGGGATGTTCCGACCAAGCTATGGGACTTGGACGAATTCCCCACCTCCCAACTGAAAACCTTTAAGGAAGAAGGGAAAGGAGCGGTTGGCCTGGTGGCGCTTAACGGGCCCTTGAAGGGGGGTCAAAAAAGGGTCGGACACCTGGAAGGGATTCTCCCCACAGGCGAACTTGGCTCCTCTT